TCATCTATTTGAGATTTTTCTCCTGAGGAAAGAAAATAAAAACAAAGCACAAATATAAATATCACACACATTAACTTATTACAGTTGTACAATACTGTTGTATCATTTAGTCACATTACTGCATGCTATATTATCATTGCATTTTTGATGGCTCACCTGGTCTTGGTCCACATTCGGTGTTGTCCTTATTCTCATGCAAAGCTCTGTAGTACCTAAGCATGGATGAGGTGTTGTTGTTATACCCCAGCTCCCTGGCAAATAGCAAACACTTCACTTGTACAAAAGTACAGACAGCTGAAGATAAATTGCATTGCACAATCAATATTAATTATGAAATCAAATCTTCTGTAGAAATATTACTGTACATACCTTGTTGGGAGGAATGAGATCAAAATGTTCCCACACAGGGGACATCCTCCTCTTCTTAGCTGGCTCCATTCTCTCCTAACTCTCTCTCCTCACTCTCCTAAATCTCCAAACTCTCTCCAAATTATCTCTACCTCTCTCCAAACTATCTCTAACTCTATCCAAACTGTCTCCAAACTGTCACTGACCGCAACTCTCCATCAAACACCCACATTTTGAATGGAGCCTGAGGGGTTTATATCGCTGTCAAAACTCGCGGCAAAATCCGAACCACTTTCTGAATCAGTCACGTGGTACAGCCGGGCAGCGAGGCGTCGGACGTCATCATTTTCAGCTCCTCCCCTAAATGATGGTGTGTGTCCTCTAATTATCTCCATGTGTGGTTAGCCTTCTGTACGCTATTGTTGAGCTTTAGCTGTTCGTTTGAACAACATGTATGTCAGTGGGCAGGAAAAATACACAATTTATGGTGAGATTAAGGCAGAAGTGCATACGGGTGGTCAGTTGTGAGTGCACAGTGTACCTGGATGTCAGGTATCTTTGCAGCATCAAGGAAGAGCCATGGACACCTTGTTTCTGGCCATTTGAATCAACTGTCACAGGTTCTGATCCTCCTATCAGCTTAAGTTTATCCACAGTGAATTTAAAAGAATTCTATTTGCCAGCTGTGCTTCACTTGAGAGCAGTGAAGGTCAATCAGACAATGTTTGCCATAAACATTACAAATAGAACATGAAGTTTTTACTAAAGCTTCATTATCATACAGTAAGTGAAACTGTTACACTACAGTTGATTCTGACCCTGTGTACAAATGCAGAGTGAGAGCACAAAGATGCTAATATGCTCACTTTTATAGCTGCTGTCTTAAAACACCATATATCAAACTAGAAAGTTTGTCAGTGGAAAAAAAAATGGGTCAAATTGGAACAAATGAGGTGTGGTATGCAATTACATTGTTAGTTTTGACAATTTATATCAAAGTTGCTCAAACACTTTTGAAATTACAGTCTGAACCTATCAGTGCTAGTATAGTACTCTCTCACTTGAACCACCACAACCTTAGAATGTTTCTCACCTCATCAACTTGCAGTTGATGTCCATATGTAGGAGTTAAGGGCCCAGAATGCTGTTGGTCCTCCTCACAACACGCCTGAGACTATTTATGCAGCAAGTCCCATATTCTTGTCCATGCTTCTGTGGCCTATTGAAAGTTACATGGGAGGAATTAGTCCTATAAAGTCGTTTTAGTTATAATAATCACTCTGACCACAGAAACCTGTACAAACACATTTCATAAAAATCAAACATGCAGGAAAAGTCAACAGCTCTTACTAAATGCACATTTTTCTCTAATTCACTAAAGGGCTATTCCATTCTTTATTCAGGTTTCTCAGTATATGATGCACTTTGAGGCTAAACAGGAGTTTTAATGACAACTGTTGATTCATATTTGCACTTCTGAGCCTCTCCTCCTCTCACTTGAGCGTTCCTTCATTTTCCTAGCCTATGCTTACTAGTCACATTAATATAGTAACAGCATCAAACTCCGTTGGAAAAAGTACTGTACATAAGGGCAATAGAGGAATCGGTTATTTTTAGTTTCTCCTTCACATCTCACCGTACCTTTTTACTCCACTAGATTTATTTAATAACTTGAGGTTACAGTTTTGCTTTTCAGAATTAGATGAATAAAAAGGAAACGGTATAAGCCTAATCATGAGACCTCTGTAATCTCTGGTGAGAAATTTACAAGCTACTCACCAGAAGTTCAAATTTTAACTTAAAATTATCCCTACCTTTACCAGCTACATTAAAATGATGAACACAATAATGAGCCAGAAATTATAATCAAATAGTACACAACATGAAATGCACTCTATTATCATTATTCTGCACAGTGACTACTTTTACTTTTGGTAATTTAGGTATATTTCGCTGCTAATGTCTTTGCACTTAAGCAACATTTTGAATGTAGCACTCTTACCTGTAACAGGGCATCTCAGTAAAAAGACGCCGACAGGTTTTGACCTCACCAGGTCTTCATCAGGGCGGAAACATACAGGTGCAAACAATTTAAGTTTCTCTGCTGATGAGGACCCGGTGAGGCCCAAACCGGCCGGCGTTTTTTATTGAGCTACACGATTAATATTGGATACAAGACTACACATCCAACAGGGAATAAGTTACAAGTCAACTTTAAGTGATTCCTCCTAAATTGAGCAGGTTTCACAATTAGCCTGACAACTGCCAGGCGCAAACAAAGCAAAATAGGACTGGACGGCTAACATCCTACATTAGCATTCGGCTAACGCTAGATAAAGTATCCCACCTGGAATAGAAACATAAATTTGGACAACTGTATTAACAGCGAAGCTCCTGCGCGCTGCCAACATACAGAACGCAACACACTAAAACTTTCTAATGCCACCCACCTGAGTAGCAGAACTACCGCTACCGTCCATCTTGAATCTTCACTACAACCAAATTTACAGAACCGCCACCGGAGACTAACTTCAAGAACCCAGCTACCACCTGATTGGACAATTTGACTCTGCACTGTGATTGGACTGTCACTGTCCAATCAGATTCAGTTGTGATTCATACTAAACCTTGAAACTGCAGTACAATCAAACTTACACCGCCACAGTAGACTAACTTTATATTAAACTACCTAATATAATGGTAGAGGAGCACAGCAGCATGCTGTTTTTATTTGTGATTGCGTTTTTGTTACTCTTGTTTTCAGTTTCAGTGTTTTACTTTGTTTTAATGTCTAATTTCACTGCCTAATTCTAATTCTTCTTTTAGTAATCCTTTGTTAGGTAATTTCTTAGTTAGATAGATATTGATTAGAGATCTGTTGTATTAGAAGATGTTAGTGTAGCCAGGATGTCTTCCTCAGGCTGTTAAATGCAAGGTTAGTTAAAGCAGAGAAAGGCTGCAGTCAGGGACAAATGTTATTATGACGGTAAAAGTAACCATAATATTTGTCTTAATGTGTAATGTTATGTCAAATTTTCTGTGGAGGAGGGGGCGAGCCAACTAAGTGATGATATTGTATAGCAATTCTGGGTTCGGGGTCTTTTTCTGCTTCCGGGCTGCTTGGGCAGCCTGGGGGTTGGAAGATCTCTGGACTCGTAATGTTAATTCTTGCCTGTGACTCTTTGAATAAACCAGCACGGTTACATTTTTTTATATATCCAAGTGGTCTGAGTCGTCCCTCTGAGTTTCTGGTTTGAAAGAACCGGACGGGGCTTTATAATAGAATAGAGCCTTTACCTTCTACAATGGAAAACTATTTGAAGTGTTAGGTAATTTCTTAGTCAGATAGATATTTGTTGTATTAGTAATGTTTAGTGGAGCCAGGCTGTCTAGCTCAGGCTGTTAAATGCTTAGTCATTCTTATGAGTTTTGTGCAGGCTGCATGTGGGCCAAGGACAACTAAATAGAAAGAGTCTGCAGGCAGGAGGTTATTGCTATTATTATGATATGTGTAACTGTAATGGTAATCATATTTTCTTATGTGTAATGTCATGTCAAAATGTTCTTAGATACACACCACTAATCAACAGCCACACACCTTGACTTTCTTCATGTTTTGACTATTGTTATGGTCAGCTGCAAAGCTGGCATATCAGGTGACGTCACGGTTTGACGTTGCTGTGTAGCATGGGCTAGCCCAACCAAGTGATAAAATTGTATAGGCATTATGGTTCAGGGTCTTTCATTCTCCGTCTGCCTGCGCGCAGGATTTGAGGTGGAAGATGCCTGGACGTGTAATGTTAATTTTACCTGTGATCCTTTGAATAAACCAGCACGGTTATTTTTTATATATCCAAGTGGTCCGCTTCGTCTCTGAGTTTCTGGTTAAAAGAACTGGGTAATATCTTTCAGAAGCAACTGGGGAAATCTGTGTGGATCATATTAGATTTATTTTCTGTCTAGACCAAATATCTCAAAATCTATTGGACGGGTTGTCATGAAATTTTATACATACATTTATAGTTCCCATATTGATTTTGATGATCTCATTTTAATTCTTTTCTTCCTCTCCACCTTGAGGTTGCCATTTTAACAATATGTCAGTCTCATGGTGGCTGCAGCAAAACTCAGGAGATTACTGAAGTAAGTAGGATTCATGTAAAAGATTCTGCAATCTATTTAATAGTAGTTGTATTTCAGTCTGGACCAAAGCAGAGAACTAACAGACCAACATTTCCATCCATTGAGCCATTTAGCTAGTGTAGCTAAAATAAAATTGAATAAACAAGAGTAACAAACTGTCTGATAAATGTAACTACTTATAGCCCAAATTTAACTTACTAAAATGCGGTGGAAACATTTTAAGATTTAAAAGATGTAATGCAATATTATCTCTCAATCTTGAAACATGACTCAGTGGTCTTTTATGTCAGAGCAGATGAATGAGTCTGACTCTCAGCTGTCTGGCATTTTGCTGTAGTTTTTATTAACAGCTGTGCAGATCCAGTATAGCCAGTTCCACCCAGTACCCGTTTGACTTAAAGTCACGGGGTATGTAGGAGTGAGAGATAGAAAACATTGTTAAACAAAGGATTTCCTGAGGACAGGAGGCAGACTTACTCACCTGTAACATTCACATTCTTCAACAATGAGCCTGTCCATCCTTGTGCTTTGTTATGCGACATGGGAGGAATCTCAAGTACCGGTAGTTGTTTTGTCTAGATTAGAGTTTAATTCTTCTGTCTCCGGCTTACGCTTGCCAAAATTTTATATGTGGACACCAAAGTCAGCAGACAAAAGGTTCTCAAGAAATAAAAACTTTAATATGAGTAAGAAAAAATAAAGCATTATGATAATATCAGTACAGAACAGCTGAAATATTAGTTGCAAAACATTTTCTGCAACCTTAAAAAGAAAAAAATATTCTCATCAGCCATTGCAAATGTATGATGAACATGAACAGTTTCCTAGATCCACCAAGGCTTATAAAGTATCTTTGATATATTTGCAAAATCCAGCATAAACTAGTTTTCTGTTACATTGTAAGAAAAAAAATTCTAATGAATACAGCTGAATTTCAGATAAATTAATACAGTTGAAAATCAGAGACGTATGAAAACAAGAAGTTGAAAAAGTGCCTTGCAAATCTATAAAAACTGTTGCAATTAAGACATTTGGTTTGATATTTTGAGGTAAATAAACTGATGAGGTTCGAGGTTTGAGTAGGTAACTACCCACACAAATATGTAACACATTTTTATAATTGTTGTTTCTTTTTTCATACTGAATTCATAATTACTATATAAGGTATTATTTTTATAGATAGTAAGTGAATACATTTGTCCACCTATGCTCCAAGACAACGCCAACAGTGCTTTATGTGCTCACTGCTTTGTGCTTATGAAGGAAAAGGAAGTACTGCAGTAAAGTTTGAGAACAGTTCATATACTGCAATAGCCACTGTACTTGTAAAATGCACCATGAAAATGGCAATAAATAGGTTTCCAGTCTTTTTTATGCCTCTGTGCTGGCAACAGCTGTAGCTGAAACCAAATGTTTTGGGATCATCAATGGGCACCATATCCTCATATGGAAAAGGATTAGGGCCACTAAAAAATTTGAGTTATGAAATATTTTCCCCTCAGAATTTTGTTTAAAGCTATAATTCAGATTTTGTTTCTCTCATAATTCTGAATTCTTAGTGATTCTGAGTTTAATCTCATAATTCTGACTTCTATCACAGAACTGACTTTTTTCCTTCAGAATTCTGACGAATCAAATACATTTTTTTTACAGTGGCCCTAATCCTCTTCCATAATCCTGACGTCTGTGCCATTCCTGCGTATTTGACTGGTTAACAGAGGTATACAACAGCAAAACAGTAATTCTTCTTTTAATGGAAATAGTCATTAAAATGGCAACATTCAGTCTTATTTCTGATAAACTGTACATTGTTTCGAACTGTAAATGACTCTGTGACAATGTGTTTATGACTTGGTGGACGTCTATTCTCATCCGGGCTGTGTATAAATGCAGCTATTTTAAGAATATTCTGTTTATAGCAGATGTGTGAGGAGCTGCTGTCCAGAATCCTGTCTTTGTTATGTAGTTAATGCCAGAGAGACTAAGGACAAAAGGCTCAATTTGAATTGTGTGGTAATAAGATTTTCCAGTGTCGATTATCCAAAGTAGACTAAACTCAAACACAAATTAATCTTCAGTTCCAAGTTGAGCTAAACAAAACAACAACAGTAAATATTAGTATAGAGTCAGAGTATTTACAAGTTATGTTTGATGAAGTGTATTCTATCAAGAATATATACAGACAGGTGACTAATTAAAGGAAAAACCTGTATAAATGAGTGGATGATAATACAACACCTTACTTTAACAAAGAGGCGGTGCCTTCAGGAATTACTCTGCCATTTCATTTCATTTCATCTCACCTGGAAGACAAAACCATTATAATTAAATATGAATAACAGCAATAATGTGATGCAGCAAATGTTTAAAAGTCTGATGCACTGGAGGGGCTATAGAGAGGACAGTTTGGAAGAGGAACGTGTGACAGGAAGTAAGCTAAAGTTCGTGTACTTTGTGCTATTTTTAGCCATTCTATTGGCATGGCTCTATGGATGGGAATGTCAGCCTGTCGGTCAAAAGTTTGAGTGTTTTGGTCATTAATCTTAATGCTAAACTGAATGTCTTGCTCTGTGCAGTCAAGAGAAACACAAAACATGACTGACTGTATTCAAAAGCTGTATAAAGTACAGATTACCTTTGGAGTTTTGTTGTTGCCAGAAAACCAGTTAGCCACAGTTGGTGTGGCCTGGTGTGGGGCGGGCTGTGGGCCAGCAACTTTAGAAACAGCAGGCTGCAAAACAAATAAGATTTCATGGGTTTACTTTATTATCTTGCCTGTCATTCCTTCCTGCGACTGCAGCTATCAGGTGTCTTTTTTTGTGCCGAGTCAACCGCCTTCCCTCTGCACTGATGTCCATATAATCAGTGGAGTAAATCTCATTTTACAGTACAGGAGTGGATGGTACTCTTGTGAATATGCTCAGAAAGTAAAATGCAAGACATTCAACCAGATCGTCTTTTGAAGGCAAAAATGACCTGAAGAAGAATTCTTAACCAGTTAGTTGCCAGTTTGAAACATCTGACTTGGAGAATCACTAGAAGCACAGATTAATGCTTTCAGTGTTAGACTCGTTAAGAAAAAATGTAATATATTACTCTATCCAAAATGAATATTATTACTACCTGAATGTTGTTGTTTCTTCATTGATATTACCATACTTAGAGTATGGCGTTGAAAACTGGGGAAATACATACAAAAGCTCGCTTCAACCATTGTATATATTACAAAAAAGAGCGATAAGAATCGTGCATAAGATGGGGTACAGGGATCACACCAATGGAGCTTTTATACAGTCTAAATTGTTAAATTTTTTGATTTAGTGGGATATAAGACTGCAGTGTTAATGTATAAAGCCAGGAACAATTTATTACCTGGTGGAATTCAAAAACTATTTAATGAAAGGGAAGGGGGATACAATTTAAGGGGTCAGTTAAATTTAAAAATTCATGCTATACGTACAACCAAAAAAAGATTTTGTATTTCCATAAGTGGGGTAAAACTATGGAATAATTTAAGTGTGGACATAAAAAATAGTAATAGAATTGACGAGTTTAAACATAAATATAAAGGTATGTGTCAATCAAGATATATGCAAGAACAGGCTTAATGATTAATTAGATGGAACATTGTGGGTGTGGTGTATGAATGTTAACACTCTGAATTAATTCTTTAGTATATTACTTGTGTGGTGTAGAAGAGAATTATCTATGTAGAGATACTGCTTGCAAACCAATGATGGTAAGATGATGTCATGGGGTAGGACTGGATAAGTCTGACTTCTTCCTACTCCGTTCAAGCATGTACTAGGTATAAGTAAATTGATATTGGATTATTATTGTTGGATATGTGTGAAATTACATGTGTTGACATAACTGTTTTACATGCTTGAATGAATAAATCAAATCAAATCAAATCAAAAGGAACATTACTCCGATTACTTTTTCGTTACACCCCACAGATTGGTAATGGTGTCCTTTCTCCTCAAAATGCACCTCCTAGCTGTGAGAATGCCAGGATAATCACTGGTAGGTGCAGCTAAGGTTTCAAACTAGCAGGGTTTTTTGTTTTTTTTTAACTGGGGAAAGTAATATCATTACAGTAATGTGCTACAGCCCAACACTGAATGCTTTACATGAGCATTTTTACATATCCCAAGTGAGTGAGGGTTGGAAACTATTTGTGAGCACTTCCTTTTCCGCATGTTCTTTCATATATATACCACCTCATTTTCTTTCATATAAGTATATATAAATGACTGGTTTTTGTATTTGTTTTACCTTAAAATTGGACTGAGCATTGAGCCTTAGATGGAGGTTCTGAGGTTCAGCCAGACGTTGTTCCAGTAGCTTCTTCTGTTCTCTCAGCGTGTTCTGCTCAATCAGTAATTTCTCAACCTAAATAAAATATTGGTGTTATTTTAAATGAATGTGAAACGTGCCTTTACATGCTCATCTCTCTTAAGCTACTGCATGATTTAGGCTCTTGTTTAAACAGATTAAAAAAAGAGTAGCTAACCATACACAGAACATTTTACAGTATCAGTTTTATAACCAGATACTGAGGAAGTTGACTTGTTCCATGGATCTCTCCATTTGTTTCCCACCCACACATACATGTATATGATCTACCTTGTCATCATGAGTCTTTTGATTGAGCTCCAGCTGCCTGGCGGCCTCAGCGGCAGTCACGTTGCGACTGTGTTCACACAACTTCAGGTCAGCTGTCAAGTGTGAATTTTGGACCTCCAGACGACTGGACAGGGCTTGGATCTTTGCTACCTAAAATAAGAAAAAGAAATTTAAATAAAGCTAATAAATTTCTCATTTGATGCCGTGCTTTCTCTTTAAATATATTCACTTTCTTAGACTATGTAACCACAGAGTGAACAGAACTGAATGTATTGACTGTGTGGTTTGAAAACTCATGTCTCTTTGCTTTTCTTCCAGGATTTGGCCTTGGACAGAGTTGAAACTTAAAGAATAAATATCAATGTATTGAACTGAAAAAAGAAAAAAAAAAGGATATGTTTTTGTTATCCTTCACAGTACTGCTGTATCAGCAGAGCCGCAGACTCACCTCTTTGACCCTGAGATTGCCACAGAGGACATCTTTCTCTTTAACAAGATTTATCACAGTGATGCAGCAGATAGGCTTCCTCTCCTGAGAGGAAGTTTGTTCTTTGGAATATTCCATCATATTTTATGAGCTGTGTGAAATGGGTTGGCCAGAAAAGGAGCATCAACTCTGGAAACTAAAACCCATGTAAGCTGCAGTGGAAAGTACATTTACTCAAATACTGTACCCAAGTACAACTTTGAGGTACTTCTAGTAATTCAACTTCCTGCTATTTTATATTTGTAGTCTGCTTATTTTCAGAGGCGTACAGTATATTGCACCTTTACTCCACTGCAATTAATTGACAGCTTGAGTTACTAGTTTTCTAATTATACAACAGAATATACAATAAGCATTTTGTGCAAAGTTGAAGATTAAACCAGAGGCTCTGGACTATTTTACCTAACTGTGTATTAAGCAGTTAACCTATGGACAACCAGACCTCCTACAACAGTAAAATGCTACTTATACATTGCGCATCAATATAGTCTAAATATGTCACATATAATGTGTAACAATATATGAGTCACAGGGGCCGATTTGTGCAGAACAAGTACTTATGATATACTGAATACATATATATTGAGTAACACTACTGCACTTTTAGCTAAGATTTTGCAGGACTTTTTCTTATAAAGGGGTACTTTATATTGTTGTATTGATACTTTAACTCAAGTAAAGGAGCTGACGACTACTCCCCTGTACACAGAAACACTCGTCTCTTCTAGTTTCTTGATACTATCTGCTTAATCCCTCTCAAGGCTGTGTATTCCAGCATACACTGAGGGGAGGAAGAGAACAGCCCCAGGTTTTTAGTCTTTCCTTCACTTTGCATAACTTCAAATCACCAAATTATATACATGTTTAAATCACAAAACATTCTGTATTCACACACCTGATTGCCGACGTTGTCTAAATACAGCTGGAACTTATTCTCCACATCCCTGGACAGGTTGGTGCAGCTGTTCCTTATCTTCTCCATTTGCTCCTTCTGGCTGCCACAGGTGAGGTGAAAGGTCATTTGGTGGGGAAAGAGGTGGTTGATTCGGTTCAGGAATTCCCCTATCACTGTTTTGATCCCATCCAAAGAGTGAGCAAAGTCCTCTTTGCATTTCCTGGTAAAAAATAAAATTTGAAAATCTTAAAAGCTTAATTTTAATGTCTTCATCAGTACTAACCAAGCAAACAGACAGAGCACCTGGCGTAGGTGTCGAGTTGCTCCTTCAGCATGGTTTTCTCCCTGTGCTGGATGATGGCATCCTTGTGGTATCTCTCTCTCTCTCTGAGGGCGTTGTCTCTATCCTGGCGCAGATCATGAACCGTCTGGGTGAAGTTTACTCCAATGAGATTTATCATAGCTCTCTGCTTCTCATTAAGGGTCTGCAAAGTTTTTAATTCACCTGTAGAGTTCAGGAAAAAAAAACCAGTACTATCACGAATTCGCCTCCATGGACTTTATAGTTTGTACAGCATAACACTTTCATTTGCCAGAGCGATGTGTCAGTTGGCAAGTCACTGATGGTGAAGTAACTAGTTCCTCACAAAGTGTGCAGTTATAAGTGCTACTAATTTATTAAATAAATTACATACCCAATAGTTCTATGACCCAAAATCTTAAAGATTTATAACTAACACATTATCAAGGATTTATTAACCATTAATAAATTCTAAACACTTTATGAAGGGTCCCTTATTTGAAAAGCAACTAATATTATTTCTACTTTAACTGTATACAGTTGCTTTACTTGCATCCCATTTTGTCTTAACCACACAGACTTCTACTTTACTGCACATTTTATTTTACACATGCATTAAGTTTTTGGTACAGTGAACTGTTTCAAGTAGTAGCACCTATGGAGTGTTCACAGTGTTTAAACAGTAGAGTAGAATATTAGACTAAGCCTCCAAAAAAAAAAAAAAGGTATGGTACTGGAGAACATACTGCCAGTGGTGGCTGGGATCTGAGGATAGGTGCGCCGTGTCATCGTGGAAATTGATAACGATTTCTTACAATCAGCCTATAAATAAATAAGATGGATGATTAATGATTTGTGAGTTATAGTTTATTATCACAACAACCAACAGGAAAACTTCAACAATGCCTTTAAAAATAGGCATATTGTATAATTTGCAGGTTGCAAATGATTTCTTATTACTTTTAACATTTCGTTCTTGTTATAAAGACTAATTTTAAAATATAAGCATTAAAAACCCTTAACTTTACAGAATTACCTTTTTCTCACTCACTTGTGCTAAGCATCTACTTACCCATTTATTTTTTAGATCATTTTCTGTGGTATTAGAATCAGTCTTTAGTCTCAGCAGCGCTTTCTCCAAAGCTGCTTTCTCAGCTGTGCGAGCTCCCAGCTGAGCTCCCAGCTCGGTCTTCTCTTTCTTCAACTTGAGGTTGTTGTCACTCAGCCTGTTGAAGTTGTCCTGAAGCTCCTTCAGAATAACAGATTACTCAGCATCATCAGTTAACATAACATGTTAACATAATGCTGTGTAATGAAAAAATAATAATATGCCAAAAAAGAAAATCAGAATTAAGACTGTTAGGTCAGAAACTAGTGGTGATTTTGCCCAAACACTAGGACCAAGATAAAAAGCTGCTGCTGAAAAAAGTTCATTCCATACTTGAATCCCAATTAAGTGTCTTACCCTTCCAATAAATTGTGCTTTGCTTATTTCTACTTTACTTGAACGTACATCTTACTGTAGTGGAGGAAGTCTTTACTAAACATACATCATTTTACTGGGTATTCTCATCTTTACAAACTTTCTGAGCAGGAAGGAGTCACTGACCTTAACCCTCTTCTCCTCTGCAGACTTTTCTGGTTGTCCATAGATGAGGAAGAGCACCAGGCTGACGATGATCAGAGACTGGATCAAAGAGGAAAAGAAGAAGACAATCCTCATGTAGTAGCCGCAGCTTTTTCCTTTGGGCTTATGAGGGTGACCCCTCGCCTCCAGACCAAACTTGGCTTGGGAGCATCTTGAGCTGTACATGATTGGAGGAGGTGAAATGGTGGCAGCTGGCTTTTGGAAGATCTAAACAGGAATTAAATGGTTGTTTAAAAAATCCACAAGCCTTTCTTCAGAAACTCAGAGCACTGTCAAGAGGAACGTAAGAATTTGAGACGTTTATTTCTTCGTCTTCTGCCACTGTGCAGAAACACATAGGCAGAACTAGCACGTATGGGTAAACAATGACCCTTAGGTGTGTAAAGGGCCGAAGTTTATAAATGCTGCTGAAGGCACACAGTCCATCCTGGCCCAGCCCTCACCTCCCCTCCCCTCCCTCCCCTTTCCTCCCTCATGAACCTCTGTCACAGTTACAGCCTCCAGCTGCACCACTGGCCACATTATCCTACTGTTTACAACAAAAAGTCACTGAAATGAAATGAAGATTAAAGTTTTAAGCTCTACTACCAGGAAAGTTTAAATTTATTAAAGAAAAAAATAACTGTTTGGAAAAGTCATTTGTGTCCGATAAAGTTTATCCACAAAATAGTGAGTTATTAATGGATAAGTTAGAAAAATATGGGATCAGAGGAATGGTTCTGAATTGGATTAGAAGTTACTTGACACAGAGGCGTCAATTTGTGAAGTTGGGTGAATACCAATCGAGTGAGCTGGATATTGTATGTGGAGTGCCTCAGGGTTCTGTTTTGGGACCTAAATTATTTATATTATACATTAATGATATATGCAAGGTTTCTGATTTAGTGAGAGTGGTTTTGTTTGCTGATAACACTACCATATGGGCATCGGGTGAAAACCTACAGCAACTATCTGGATGGGTTACACAGGAACTTGAGAAGATAAAGAAATGGTGTGATAGTAATAAACTATCTCTGAATTTGGCTAAAACTAAATTTATGGTATTTGGGAATCGTAGACTAGATAATGAACCTCAATTGAAAATTGGGGGAGCTAATATAGAACGAGTATATGAAATTAAATTTCTAGGTGTCATAGTTGATGACAAATTCTCCTGGAAATCTCACATCAGATATGTTCAGCACAAAATAGCAAAAAATATATCGATATTGGCAAGGGTTAGATATATTTTGGACGGGAAAGCA